TGGAGGTGGCTTGTCGAGGTTGCAATGGAGATTGTGATGACCCAGAGCGGGATGTCTGTTATATTTCGATGGCTTTTCTTCATATTCTTGTGGATTGAAAATTACGCGCCGTTGTACGTCGAAGTTTTCTTCAGTTGTAGGATGATTGTGGACAGTGCGTCGATTTCTGTTTGAATTGGTAGTGGGCGTCAACCCGGCTATTGTTGTAGTGCGTTGGTGGAGGTTGTTGAGAATGATCGGGTAATATTGATCAAGAAAGGTCTTTGAATTGAGTTAAGGGTCCGAATTTTTCTTGCTGTCATGGGAAAGGCCCAGATAGTGGCTCCATAGGTGATTATTTTATTGACGACTGTCTTTAATAGAGTTTTCATAATGCGATGATTAAGGCCCCAGGAATATCCTTTCATCGTCCCTAATGCTTTTGCGATTTTGGCGGTGGTTAACTTCGTTTCCTGAAGATGTGATATCCAATTGAATTTCTGGTCTATGGTGAGTTCTAAGTACTTAATGGTCTTCACACATTTTATTTTATTGTTTCCAATTCGTAGCATGGGATTCCTGGTTATTGTTTGTCCTGGCTTGTGTATTATAAGTACGTGCGATTTTATATGTGATATTTGGAGTTTTATTCTATGACAAAGGTAGTTGAATATATTAAGGGTGGTGTTGCAGTTTTCCTCTAGTTGTCTTCGTGTAGATCCTTGGATTATGAAGGCAACATTGTCAGCGAAGGCTACAATCCTTGTGTGATTTGGCCACTGATGATCGATAATATTATTAAAGGTGATGTTCCAGAGGTCCGCGCTCATACACATGACCCTTGGGGACATCCTCTAGTTTGTTTTCTGGCGATTATGGTATTGTGATAGATTACTACGCTTTGTCTGTTCTTGAGATAGTCCGTAATCATAAGGTACAGGTTTCTTGGACACTGATCTCCCTGAGGGCCTGCTTGACAGCTGGCCACCAGAGAGAATCGAATGCATTTTGCAGGTCAAGACATAGGAGAGCCGAATGCATTTGATGGTTTGTTTGCTTGTATTTGAGAGATTGCTATATCTATTGCATGAGTGGTTGAGCTTTTGGGTTTAAACCCATACTGGTTGGTACTTATTCTATTGTGTCTTATATATATGGTATTTTAGTCTGTTGACCAGAAGTCGTTCAAGGAGCTTTCCCACAGCTGGTAGTAGATTTATTGGTCGGTATGAGCGAGGGTCCTCTGGTTTTTATTTTTCTTCGAGAAGAGGATGATTTGCCCGTGCTTGAAACAGTCCGTGAAGCAGTTGTATTTCAGGCATTTATTGTACAGATTTAGGAGTATTTCTGGGCTGACTTTACAGATTATCTTCAAAACTTGATTTGAAATCCCATCTGGGCCAGGTGTCTTCGCATTGTTGCGTGTTTTGATGAGTTGTAGTAGTTCGTTTTTTGTAAATTGTCTGTCATCTGGGGTGTTTGGTGAATTAATGGAGGTTCTTAATTCTCGTTGCTCTGGGGTGTCTTCTTCGCTGTTGTCATATGGGAAAACATGGTCTAGGATGTTGTTTAAGGCTTCTGTCGTAACGTTGGCGTTGTTGTGCATATGTATGCTATTTGGGGTGTGTGTCTGCGTCGGCTTGAAAATCTTTGAGGTGGACATTTTATAGAGTAGTCCGTAAGTATTTTGGTTATTGGTGCAAAAGGAGGTCCAAGATTTTAGTTTAGCTTCCATGATTTTCTTCTTATAAATTGCCCTTTGCCTGTTGTATTCGGCCCATGCTGCTGTGCGATCTTCATCGTTTGTGCGGGACTTTAATCTTCGTCTTAGCGCTCTGGTCTTTTGGCGATCTGCACGCAGTTCTTTGGTCCACCAGTTAGCTTTTGTTTGATTGGTGGCTGACTTTAGTTTGAAGGATGCATGGCAGCATTCTTGAATAAGTCGTGTGAAGTGTATTGCATATATATTGACATCTTCTTTGGAATTAGTCTGGGTGATGGTTTGTAGAATGGATTGAACTTTTGGACTTAATAGTTTGATAAACTTTTTCTCTGTGCTGCTACTAATTCGAAAGCGTTTCGTCTGTATGTTTTCTATTTTCTGGGCAATTTCAAAGGTGATGTATTTGTGGTCGGAGAAAGAATCGTCTTTGCTGATCTTCCTATTCTGGATTTTGTGAGTTAAGGTGGTGTGTACTGAGAGTCAAATCGGGCCATCCTCTTCCATTGATTGTGGTAATAGTGGGTAAGTCCTCAGGGTCGTTATGCAGGATTAGATTGTTAGAGTTAATAAAGTCCTCCATTTCTGTTCCTCTTGGGGTCGTACGTGGATAACCCCACAGGCTGTTCTGTGCGTTAAAATCACCGTTGATCACATGAGGGACGTTGCTATTGTGGAGAGTCGTCTTTATTTCTTGCAGGGTGTTATCGAGGTCTTCAATAGGTGACGCATAGGTGCTGAGGTACATTTTTGATTCTGCTGTGGTAATGGATATGGTGACTACATCTCTGTGTGCTTTGATAACGAGTGGTGTCCAGGACTTATTTAGCACGATGATGGCTGCTCTCGGGGACTGTGTAGTGTCTGAGTTCTGCCACGATATGATGTTCCATGTTAGTGGTAAGTTTCTTGGGGAACCTTGGTTGCAGTATGTCTCTGGTACAAAAATTATGCCATGATATTGTTCTGAAATGAATTGTATTAAATTATAGGTGGCTATCTTTGAACGCTGAAAGTTGATATGCAGAGCTTTAATTCCATTTTGACGATTAGACTGACGGAGGAATGCAGTGGGGTGGTTTTTTATGATATTAATGTTGCTTAGAGGTTGACTACTCATTGTATTGCATTCTGCTTTTGATTCTTAAAACTCCTTCTTTGTAGGATGCACAGTAGTTGACATAAGTGGGATGGTCACATGAGTATTTTGGTGCCGAAATGCTTATTGTTTATGTCACAGTTTATGCAGTTAGGGCTATTAGATTTACATTCGCTTTCCTGGTGTTTGCCACCGCAGTAAGCGCAGTGTGGATGATAGGTGCAATCCTTAGAGCTGTGGCTTAACGCTTGACAGTGATAACATCTGTGAGCACCTATAAATTCTGTAATTGAACTAGTGTGCCAGCCAAAGTGGACGGTTCCTAAGTTCATACATTTATGGAATGAAACAGTTTTACATTTCACAATCCATTTGATTGTGTTGTATTTGTCCTTAAGCTTAAACAGAGGCTTAAAATTGGAGATGTTACTGTTCGTAGCTTTTGCAAGTGCGGTGCTTACTGCTTCAGCTGTTGTATTCAGCAGCAGTCGGTGGATGGTGCACTTAGGGGTTCTTAGCTTTGGTACCTTGGTATGAATTAGATCAATTGCTTTTTCCGTCTGTTTCAGGAGGCTGTCTAGCTTAGCTACATCATCCTGTGAGGTGCAATGTACTGCAAGTCCACCTTGCTTTATCGGTACTATCTTTTTTATCTGAGTTTGGATGTTTTCGATCGGGAAAATCTCTTGCAGTTTTTCTTGTAATTTTGGACACACTTCTGGAGTCTTTTGGATAGATGAGAAGGACTGGCTCTTTTTTCTTTTGCCTCAGAACTTGTGCGTAGGTTTCTTTGATGCTGGGTGCTTCATAGTTATCACAATTGGTAGTGTCCTTTGGAATTTCAGGCTGTGGATGATTTGAGCAGCACTGTGAGTTGTTTGCTGTTGCTGTTGCATCAGCGGCGCAGGGCTGTTGTTCGCAGGATTTGACAATTTCGGAAGTTTCATTTGCTTTGTTGCTGGCTAGTTTATAGAGTGCTGATAATAGAGAGATTAGCTCTTCCTGGATAGCATTGGGTATTATATATCTGAGGCTGTAACGTGAGTTTGCGATCTCCATGCAGTGAGAGTAGATGTCAGAGGCAGATATAGGCACTGACATGTGTGAGTTTGCTGAATGGGATGCTACTTCTGATAGTATGTTGAAAATGTTTTGGATGGGGGGATGAGTGCCTTCAGTGTAGTCACTGGGTTTGTGTGTGTGTGATGTAGTGGATGGCATAATTATACAGTTGCAAAACAATTGGATACTGACATACAATATAATACAGTGAGAAAACAAAAGTAAATAAAGTACTAAAATAAAAAGATCTCTTGTTATATAGCACAATGAAAATTACTAGCACAATAAGTCGCAGATAAGCAATGCTAATTGGATAACAGATTTACCATGCTAGTGGCATTCTATTCGTGCGATTTTTACAAAACCAGGCACTTGGTATAATTTGAGTCATAGAATCGAAATATGGAAAAAAATGGTATGTTATCTCAGAAAAAGTCCAATTTTGTGTCAAAATACCTGTGTTAGAACAATGCTATATATAAATATAATATATATCTTAAGATGCGCTTTCAAGACATGGGAAACACAAATTAAATTTCGACAATTGGTCTAGTAAAACAGGAGATATACAACTGTCCTAGTTTTTTTTATGCATGGTTTACCTCCTATAATAAAGTCATTTGCATTTGTAAAATCATTAAGTCTTAGACTATTATCACTACTTTTGTCGTGTAAACTGATTACCCATAGAGCTCCCAGATTATCTCATGGCAATATTTGCCTTAGTCACCAATAATCAGTTTTATATCATTTGAAGTACAGTCATAGGTGTCTTCAAGTTTATCATAAAATCATCCGTAATGGGACAAGCTCGAATTTGCACTTTGCAAATTTTCTCATTCATAGATTTTAAGTCTATGACTCTGTTTCTGATTTTCCTAGTTACTACAAATCCTACCTCAAAGCAGTGCTACAACTATATAAAACAATACATCTTCTTTTATCCAAAATTCCTTGACCAAGCCATCTGATCTCCTGAATGGCCAAAGTGTCTAATTTATAATTCACAAACATATCAACCAGATTTTTAAGTGTTCCTCCCTTATAAGGTGTATGCACATTCTAAGTGCCAATATGTAAGTCCGTTGTCATTCTATTTCGCCTATTCGATTTTTAAGTGTTCCTCCCTTATAAGGTGTATGCACATTCTAAGTGCCAATATGCAAGTCCGTTGTCATTCTATTTTGTCTCAGTGTCATCTGTCCATGATTTAGCCTTTGAAATTTCTGAACTGGAATTTTTTTACAGGGTGGGATAGTTAGTCCCATGCCCAACTCCCCAACCTAGAGGACCAGTCCCCAAATAAATCACCAGGGCATGGTTGCCTGGCTATACCTTACGAATGCTGAGTTTACGACATGCATGAGCTACATTGGGACTATTCATTCACACCCGGTCACCACACGGGTGGTGTAATAAATTACAAATTCCAGGTTTTAATTTCCACAGTAGTATACATTTGCTATCTAAATATCGCTTCATGTTTTCTAGGAGGTAATTTTTCATTTATATATTCTCTCTCTGACTTTTATAATATATATAAATACTATTAATAATTTTATATTTTTATTTATTTTGATTTTTAATAAAACAACTATTTGGCATAATTTATACTGTATCAATTCATAATTTTTATAAACATCTGCACTATTAATTGAATTAAAAAAGGATATTTCTAATGCCTTTTATATTTAATTCAGCTACTCCCCCCTCCAAAAAATATCTGCTGTCATTAGCAATAAATTTGTTTCTTTTCTATTTCATTTTCTTTCAAAATATGACCTTTTATAACCAGTTTTGTAATTACATTTCATCTAATGTAAGTTTTATACCTTGTAACAAATTCCATAATTTTAACCACTGATGTGGTAGATAATTGATTTTGAACTTAAATTTACAGAATTGCTTTTTATTAAAATAATATCTGAAATTACAGTTCTTTATTTTACAAGAACAGCAGTATTCTTTTGATATTATTTAAAGACACAGGGTTATCTTAATTTCACTAAGTATGAAACTAAAAAAATTTATTTGCTGACTTTTCATGCTTGGCTTTCATGCATTTATTGGTCTTGTATTTAAAGGGAAAGTGCCATAATTCCCTTTCAAAAGAAATCAATTTGTTGTGTTCTTTTCCAGTGTAGGATAAACTTAACTTCCAGTGTAGTACTTAGAATTTCATTACACATAAAATTTTTTTGCGTATTTTTGATTTTGTTTCTTAAATTTATCCTTCTATAAATTAATATGAAAAAAACAATGCTGATCTCTTATTAACAAATTATAAATGAATTCTGACCGAAAGTATTTTATAAATTGTTAATAATAATAATATTATGACATATTATTTATAAAACTCTAAAATGTAGTTAAATGCCTCCTTTTTTTAATTAAATGTTTATATAAATAAAGTCTTTGTCCTGTATAAAGTTATTATTCCTACATGAATTTAAATTAGCTTTAAAATATCAGTATGTATTCAGTTCATTTCCTTACTTCAACATTGTGCAATCTACTGTTTTTGAGGATGTGAGTAAAAATTTTATATTAATTATTTTATATTAGTAAAAATAATGTGTATGTGTTTCTGTTGAAGTGTAATTTTTATTTATACTTACACATGAGTGGTGATAGTAGTTACTTTTGAGAGAATGGTAACTAATTAATAGTCTAGTTTTTTCACCACACTATGTTAAAAAAAAAAAAAGTTTTGTTATGTAATTAATGCTTTGTGTTAAATAAAGTATAAAGTAAAACTATATTGTTTCACATAATATACAAGTTTATAACATGGTAGCAAATTGAATGTTCAGCTGGTTTCAATGAAAGATGAGTTAAAATTGATGAAAACCGGTGTTGAGGTACTCTTTCTGAGCACTTACTTATATTTGTGTAGGAATCTGGAAAGAGAAAACTATAACAGCAGATGTGTAATTTTTGTACTTCTGTATGCTTTGATAACTACTAGCTATTCTTTAGAATATGCTTATTTCCTAGTAAGCCTCTTTGTTAGCTGTAAATAAATATGTGTCTATTAGTTTATATAATTCAAGGCTTTAATATTTTAGTGGCATGCTGGACAGTATTGTCTTTGAGTCTAAGATAAACAAGCGATACAACAAAAGATAAAATTCTTCAGTGACTCTTTACATTCAATGCAAATTATTTAGAATTGATCCCCAGAAAAGAATCAAAAGTGGAATATTAAAATATTAAAAAAAATATGAAAAAATTAATTTCATTCTTTGAATTCATCTCACTTTAAAGAACTTCTGAAAAGCAAAAATATGACAAAATAAAATAGAAGAAGAAATGGCAAAATGTAGTGCATCTAAACATTAAAGAAGCTAAAACTAAAAACTTGGATATTAAAAATGATTCTCAAACTGGCTGTAAAACTCAGGTAAAGTTACTTAAAATAGAATGAATGAAATTTGATGGTGGTTTAAGAAATTTGATTGGTTTCTTGAGCCAATTTGCTAAAATCTGCAGCGATAATTCTGTATTCAGTGAAGATAAATTCGTATATTTAGAGCCTAGAATGAAACCTTGGTCATAAGCACATAGATTACTTGAAGGTTTCCTACTATTAAGAGGAAAAAATGAGAAAGCTATAAAGATTTTAAAATCAAGGTATGGAAAGGAAGAACTTTTAATAGAATTCTATGTTTTTGAATTATTATCTCTAGTTCTACTGGAAAGGGAAAAGTATTTAAATTTTTGCATTTTTATGACTAGCTAGAATCACAATAATGTGCTTTAGAATCATTAGTTGTAACTAAATGTATTCAACAATGCTTTTTTTGTCATTTGAATCGGGAATTTCCGAAAACATTTTCAAGATCTAGGAGACACAAGGTAACTAAAAAATACTACAGCTAAAAATTCTGATGGTTGTTTATGGAAATTACTGGAATTTTTAAAATAGAAGTTTAAGTAGAGGAACATTAAAATCAAGCAAAATTTCATTTGAAGCCAATGAACATAAATCAGATTTGCAGGTTACACATAGTAAGATGTTGAATACAGTACACTCCCGATTATCTGCGGAATTGGGTGGCGCGGCCGCCGCGGATAACAAAAATCACGAATAATCCGAAAAAAGCAAAACACGGGTATTGCAAAAGAGAAAACAGTCATTCCAACTTTGAAAAATTGTTTTATATACAATAAAACGTAAAATAAACAGCAGGAAATGTTTAACTAACGCTTAATATTTTAGTATATCACTCAAAACTAACCTAAAATGCATTTTGTTAATGCAAACAGAAAAGTGCTTTGTGCTTACGAGAGGCGTCAAGGAATGCACAGAAAAATTAATACATACGTACTGTTTTAATACTGTAATGTATTATGTAATTACAAAAGCATAACTGTAAAACTACACCTTTTTGGAGAAATCAGTCATTTGTGTTTGCTTCTTGCTTTGGAAGCATTTTCTCTTGATCCGAGATTGCATTTTTCGTAGCGTAAGTTTCTCGGCCAACTCCGCATCGTCTTGTTCTTCCAAATAGCTCAGCAGTCCATCGACTTGTTGCAAAGCCGCTTCATGAGTCTTCCGCATCTGCACAGTGGGCTCGTCTTTGCCTTTACTTCGCTGTCCTTCATTATCAGTCTCTCCCCTTGCTTTTTTCACAATTTCGGCGTTTGTCAAGCGTTCGAAGCCAGGTTCGTTGACGTTACACTCCAATCACTCATTAATGTTTTCAGCATCGATGTTCTCATCACTCGAAACTGTTTTTCACCATATCGGTAAGAGTCGCCTTGTGTGTGTCTACATCTTCATTTGCTTCTTCATAACTCAAAGGGGTTAGGTTGTTGTTGGCTTCAACATTAGGTATGAGTTTTCTCCATGATTTTATGAGGGTTGACGGTTTCACTGAGTCCCATGCAGATGCAATATCGTAGATGCTGTCCAAGATTGTGTAGTGTTTCTAAAACTCTTTCAGATCATAACCTTCTTCAATTTTGGTCATTAACAGCTTGGTTTGGTATGTTCTCTTCATTGTTACAATGACTCCTTGGTCCATGGGTTGGATTAGCACAGTAACGTTGGGGGGGGGGAGAAACTTTGCAAAAATTTGTCCATCAGAAGACTTTAGCACACTTGTTGCTGGGTGAGAAGGTGCATTGTCGATCAATAGCACAGTTTTTTCAGGCTGGTTTTTCGATTTAAGATGTTTAAGCACTTGAAGAACAAAGATTTTTTTGAATCATTCTTGAAAAATGTTTCGGTTCATCCATCCTTTTTTTTTTTTTTTCGTGGGGGGGGGTTTAAAGTAATCAACGGGCAAATTTTCTATCCTTTGTGTCTGTGAAAGATCTCGTTTTTTTTTACTTTCCACTGACAACAAGTCTAAGTTTATGTTCACCGGTAGCGTTAATGCAAGACATGATAGTGATCCTTTCGAACAATGGCGATATAATGTGATAAATTATAATAAATCATTTAAGTTTTTTATATGCTGTATTCATAAATAGTAGCTGTTTAATAGCTAACTAAATAAAGAACAATATGTTCCTTTAATTATTTTATTTTGCTGCTTTTATGACCCGCCGCTTTACTTTCACTTTCAAATGCTAAAGTGCGAGTGGGAAGACATTTCGACAAAAGTCCCGATCCGTCGGAATTGTAAATTTGTTCAAAAGGTAGCTCTTCTTTTAAAACAAATTCTCCAAATTCATGGTGGAAATCGTTGGCTGCTTGTTGGTCACCACTAAATTTCTCCCCGTGAAGTCCAATTTCTCGAATTCCAAGATTAAGACGAGAGAGGGCGGTGGAGCGTACACTGCAAGGGTGAGTAAGACATCAATTACTCATCAGAGGTCAGAGGGGAAGGTTCCGAGAAGGCCTGGGATATTTTGGCTATAAATAAGCACGATGTTAGCAAATTTAACATTTCGCTCAGTTTTGTGAACATTTTCATTTTCTTTGCTTTACGCTTGTTTAAAAAAAAAAAAAAAAAATTTTATGCAGCAGGCGCGGATAATTGGGAGTCTACTGTAGTTTACTGGGTCCTTCAGCAGTTGTTTCTGGACATAATAATAATGTCAGTAAAGAGGTACTATGCACTTTTTGTAATAAATTGATACATTTATAGAGTCATTAGGTTTATCAATGCAGGAAACTGGAAAAATGTGGAATGCCCTTGCCGAGATTCAAACATCAGACCTCCCAGTTCTAGCTGACGTGCTATCTAGTTACACCACAAAGGCATGCAGAAATGAGAGAGAAAATACATGATACATTTTCTCAGGATTGTGCTGCTGTTATTGATTTTCCTCGAAAAGAAATGCAGCTGATTGTAAAGAAAAAGGATTTGTATTTTCGCTGTCTGAAATAAAAGCATCTTAGCTCTAAATGCAAACCAAAGATGTAAATTCAGATATCAGTAAATGGAACACTGTATTGCAAATATAGTTTCATTTCTGTATGATTTTCTTCATAACATTTTTCTTTTCTCTAATTTACTTTATTGTAAGTTTACAATATATAAAGCATATAACATGGAATATATCCATAAATTGATTCCTTGTGTTTTCAACTTTTCTTCTTGTCATAGTTTTTAATGTATTAAAAGTTAGGCTATCCAGGAAGCTTGGGAAATGCTGAATGCTGGATATGGGAAAATTCTGGATAGTTCAGTGTATAATATAATTGTGCAGTAAGTGGAATTCATATTAGAAAAAACAAATTAATAAAAGAAATTTCCTATCTAAAATTACCAAAAAAATTCATCTTATTTATTACTAGTTTGAATATCAAAAACCTAAATGTAAAATTATATAAAATTTTTGAAAAATGCATTTCAGACATAAAAGCAGTATTTTATGGGCCTTAAACATAAAAGTAAAACATCTTGTACGATTATAAATTCCCACAGAATGTGAAAGTTCATGAAGATATCGCCATATTTATACAAATCATTTTGGCAGAAAATTAAAGGAACATATTGTTCTTTATTTAGTTAGATATTAAACAGCTACTATTTATGAATACAGCATATAAAAAACTTAAATGATTTATTATAATTTATCACATTATATCGCCATTGTTTATATTGTTGCGTTTTTCTTTTCTGACACCAGTTGTTACGTTATTTTCTTCGTTCACATTCGTACGGGTTTTGTGTGGATTTGGAGTGAATGAAGGTGACACTTGATGAAGTATCGAAACACACTTTATTGGCCAGTATTGTCAGGATAGCTCCAAAACACGTTTTTACAGTCGTCGATGAACTACTATAAACATACTGACACGATCAGCAACACAGCCTTCAGTTTATCAGGCTATCACAGTGGAGACAGCTTTACTGCAAAGCACCAGAATACAGCTCCCGACTCTGCTCGGTCGTTCTCAGAACTCCACAGTTAGTTGTAGTAGCTGTTTGAGACTCTCCATGCTACAACTCGTGATGCACTCGACGACACACAGAGCATGACTCCCGACTCTTCGGTTCAGTCGTTCCCAGAGCTCAACACGCTTTCTCGATGATGCACTAACCGCGATACACTAAGAGACTCCTTCC